CACATACATGCAACTTGACTGCCACATACATGCAACTTGACTGCCACATACATGCAACATGACTGCCACATTTACTTGCTACCGTAGATGATATAGTTCGATCCGTCGTCAGTCTGTGTGTGTGGAGTCACTGAGGTTCGTTCAGATGTTTGTTGAAATTCACGTTCTGCACGTGATTCGACTGCGTTGTGTAGCAGCAGGATTTTTCATGGTAGTTCGATCTTTATCAGCCAATAATGTGGCTCGGACACTCTGTTTATCCGTTTATTTCCAAGCTATGCGCGAGTGATTTGATTTCACTTTACGGTGACCACAAATGACTCGGTGGTAAGCTTCGGGGGATAGCCCCTCGAGGAGCTTTAAGCTTCGCAACAGACGAACAAACAATCATTCCAGAACTATAAGATTTCGTGATAGTTTGATTTTTATCATCTGATGTGGTCAGTCGCTGTGACTCCATGTTTGATTGCGTGGCTCAGCTGATAATGTGGATTTGTTGACATAGCTCATTTACTCAAGTTTGTGTGTTCAGTGTTTACGGGCTTACATAATACATGAAGAAGTATGTTCTATGTGTTAAATGATGACGTCGATGCGATCTGTAGTTTGAACTTCATGCTTAGGTGATGGTGTTTTCATATATTTGTTTAGTTGATAATATGGTTGATAATGTAGTTGATGATGTGGCTGATGATGTGATTTAATATCCTCTTGCTTAAAACTGATGAGGATCAATATACGTTCAGCAGATAATGGACTAGTTGATGAAGTTTCATTTCTATGCTAAGTTAATGAAGTTTTATCTTTTGATTCTGATGCTCTAATTACGGGATAAGATTCGATACATAATTGGATACATAATGACGTTTTGATTTCTTTGCCAAGTTGGTAAATTTAATTATCATTAATGATTTTATTGATGTGAATGATGTTGCTTGGCATCCTTCATTATAAGCTCATAGTATGGTACGGTTCAGCGTTTGATTATAATGATGGGATTAATGTTGACTGACATCCTTCATTATAAGCTCATAGTGTGGTACAGTTCAGCGTTTGATTAATGTTGACTGACATCCTTCATTATAAGCTCATAGTGTGGTACAGTTCAGCGTTTGATTGATGTTGACTGGCATCTTTCGTTATAAGTTCATAGCGAGGTACGGTTCAGTGTTTGATTAGTTATTGATGAGAATGATGTTGACTGGCATCCTTCTTTATAAGTTCGTGGCGAGGTGCGGTTCAATATGATGTGTTCAGATAACTTACAGTATGTTCACTTTATCTTATAGCGTTAGGGAAACTTATTGATTATACTAAGTTGTCTCTTTCTGGGGAAGAAAACAAACATATAATTGTTTTCACAAGTGTCAAAAAGTTTGCATATTTTCTCTGGTTTCGATATGAATTATATCTTTCTATAAGTTGTCCCAGCCTTTAGCTACTTTTGTTCCCCGTTTCTTTCTTGTGTACTACTCCTTTTCTTTTGGCTGGATCATCTTGGAAGGTTCTATAAATAAGAATATAGGGTGGTAGAAAATTAGCTTCTCTTTCGGCTACACCTTCTGCTGTAATTAAAAAGAAGAAGAAAAAAACGTTTACTGCACAAACACTTTCTTCTTTACCATCTTTTTTCTTTTCTGTTTCATCGATCTTGCATTGTGATTGCTTTACTACCATGAGTAAATTAAATGAAAAGAAAAACCTTGACGAAAGTACTTAAATTGGTAAGTTTATAAATTTGGCGGATTGAATAAATAGCAAGATGAGGAAGTGTCCAAGATAAAAGATGCATTGGAATAAAATCAGACAGAACAACAATATACTAGAACAATATCATCATTTCAATATAAAAACAACAATAAACTGCAACAATATCAACACCTCGATAAAGTAGACAACTAGAAGTCTCACGACAAAAATATCAACACCTCGGTAAAGTAGACAACTAGAAGTCTCACG